TGAGACCAGGAGAGCTAATAGTGTAGGTTCTAGTTCAAGTCCAATTCCGATGGCAAAGAACTGATGTCCCAGCTCAAAGACCAGTAGGGAGAAAGAGTGAATCCTTGCTTACTCAGCCTCCTTTTTTTTTTCTCTATTAAGGCCTTCAGTGGGTTAGATGGAAATCCAATAACTTTGTCAAAGTATGTTCCACAGAATTCAAGTTCCTTGGGATATTAATAAAGGTAATTTGGTATAAAAGGGCTCCAATGCCAAATAAGTGTGGAAAATCCTAGGTAAAATAGTTAAACAGGTGTCTTTTCTGCAGACATCCTCAGAGCCTTTAATAGGTCAGTGTACTTTGTGGTTATCCAAGAAGAGGCGGTATTTTGCAAAGCTTTTCAAACCTATTTAACAAAGTATCTTGTTTGGCATTTAGCACCTCACTCAATCCTGGGAAATACAGCTTTATAAAGTACTTCACAGCAGAGATTGTATTTTATCTGCTATTTGTACCCCAGCCTCTAGGTCACTGCCTGCCAAACAAAGAGATTCAATAAGTGTTTGAGAGGTTATTAAGTGAAATGATGAATGAAATGGCAGTAGAGACATGGTCAAGCCATAAACATAAATTCTATACAAGACTAGCCTGAGCCTCTGTCCAGGACTTCCGAGAGCACTTCCAGAGAGCCACAAAATGCAAAATGGATGTTGAGAAGCTTTAGAGTAGAACCTCAGCTCTCACTCAGCTCTCTCTCATGCCACAGTGAGAATGGGGTAAATGGTGTTGGGAACAAATGCTTGTTCCTCGGTGCCAAAAAAAGAAGAACCAGCAGTGAGACAAAGAACTTTTCTAAGCAAGGCAATTTTACTTTCTGCAGAAAGGGTGCTTCTCAGAAGCTTGATTGTCGTGAGAACACACCAAACAAAGGCAGAGGTTTTTTTTGTTGCTGATGCATTGGGTCCTTACTGCTGTGTCCTGTCTCCATTGGCTGGAGCTGGACCTCACAATCTAGACTGATCCTGACTGGCTAAAAACTTAAAACTTTTCTAAATAGGTAAATGCTTGATGGAGAACAAAGAAAGGAAGGAGGTTGTTTATGGGAAACTAGGAGAATAACATTTCCAAATAAGGAAGAGGTGTAGGCTGTAAGCCAGGAAACGCCTGGGCATGTTCAAATATGTCTGAGCAGGCGATAGGCCAGAACAAATAACTTGGTTAAAGCACAAGGACACAGAATGTACTTATTCCCTTACTATATTTAACAGCTACATAGGGCTTAATGAAGAGTTATTAGTAAAAAGCAAGGAAGCTTGAAGGAAGTTAGTTTTTAAAAGAAACTATTATTTTTAACACTTATTATGTATTCTTTAACAAAAGGGGAAACTTTGAAGAGGAACTTTTTACTTTTCACAAGGGACGCTTCCTTAGTGAAGCAGGTGCTGACTGTGCCCTGCTCATACTCATTGCTCTGCAACTGCCAGCACCTGTGTTTCTGTCTGAGTTTTTCTCTTGCTGCAGAAGCCATCTCTATTGACCACTCAGCAGACCCTTCAGAGCAACCCTGGATCAATGATCAACTGGAGTGGGTGTATAAATACCCCAACTCCCTCACTGCTCAGATAGAATAACTCTAAGAATGTGTTTTAACCACATGCAGAATTCTTGTGGGGGGTGGGATGTGCTTCAGTGGCCACAGTGATAACTTGAAAATGACTGGCTTCCTCCCCACTCCTGCCTCCTCCTTCCCCAGTCCCTTACCAGTGCCCCCTGAAATCACCTCTCCTATGAACTGCTTGCTCCTGATCCTTGACTCAGGATCAAGGGTTCTGGGGGACCTCTGATAAAATATTGCTTATCCTTTCTGTGAACTCTGTCCTGTCTTGACTCTACCTCAGCTATAGGACTCTTAAGCCCTGGAAATTTCCCCTAAATTATTCCTTGAAGTCCTAGAAGGGGAACCTCCAATGTGCCCATAGTCCTGTTTATCAGCTGCAGTCCCCCACTGCTTCGCCCTGTCTTCCGTGGCATTCACTGGCATTAAGGAGAGACTTGGTGGCATGCCTCATACTGTGTCGGGTGCTGGGGGTGCAGGGTGAGTGAGACAGTCTTGGAGGCTGCCTTCATGAAGCTTCCAGGATTTTGGGGAAAATAACCATTATCACACAGATCCACATGCAAATGCAGGTGCAGTGATGCTCGATTTTCAGGTTTTGTTGCTTTAAGAAAAAAGAAGTAAGGCTGGGCATGGTGGTTTATACCTGTAATCCCAACATTTTGGGAGGCTGAGGTGGGTGGATTACTTGAGGTCAGGAGTTTGAGACCAGCCTGGCCAACATGGTGAAACCCTGTCTCCACTAAAAATACCAAAATTAGCTGGGCACGGTGGAGCATGCCCTGTAGTTCCAGCTACTTGGGAGGCTGAGGCAGGAGAATGGCTTGTACCTGGGAGGCAGAGGTTGCAGTGAGCTGCGATTATGCCACTGCACTAAAGCCTGGGTGACAGAGTGAGACTCCCTCTCAAAACAAAACAAAAAAACGAGCTGGGCTTGGTGGCGCGTGCCTGTAGTCCCAGCTACTCGGGAGGCTGAGGCGGGAGGATCGCTTGAGCCCAGGAGTCCTGGGCTGTAGTGCGCTATGCCGATTGGGTGTCTGCACTAAGTTCAGCATCAATATGGTGACCTCTCTGGAGCAGGGGACCACCAGGTTGCCTAAGGAGGGGTGAACCGACCCAGGTTGGAAATGGAGCAGGTCAAAACTCCTGTGCTGATCAGTAGTGGGATCGTGCTTGTGAATAGCCACTGCACTCCAGCCTGGGCAACGTGGCGACACCCTGTCTCCTAAAATAAAAAAAAAACTAAACTAAAATAAACCACCAAAAAAAAAAAAAAAAAACGAAAGAAGTAAGGAGATTCTGATTTTTTTTTTTTTTTTTTTTTTTTTGAGACGGACTCTAACTCTGTTGCCCAGGTTGCAGCGCAGTGGAGCAATCATAGCTCACTGCAACCTCCACCTCCCAGGTCAAGCAATTCTCCTGCCTCAGCCTCCTGAGTAGCTGGGATAACAGGCATGCGCCACCACGCCTGACTAATTTTTGTATTTTTAGTAGAGATGGAGTTACATGAGAGGCTGGTCTCGAACTGCTGACCTCACAATCCGCCTGCCTCAGCCTCCCAAAGAGCTGAGATTACAGGTTCAGTGAGCCACTGCACCCAGCCTTAGAGATTCTAATTTTTAACTGTGAACTTGTTTGTTTTCAAAACATTGGTTAGGCCAAAGAGATCACATCAGAAGGTTGGATGCCGTTGGTGGTTCAAGAAGCACACTGCACCTGCGTGAGGCAGAGGGCCTCCCTAAGTGTGTGCTTGTCGGAGTGGCTTTTCCCGAACCCAGAGAAACACCTTCCCAAAGATGCATGTAGGCCTCCATCTCCCACAAACATAAAAGCCCTCCCAGGGTTGAAATGACAACGTTTTCAGGATCCAGCACCCTCTCCAAGTTTCCCAGGCTTTCCTTCCTTTCTTGGTCTCAGCTAAAAGTGATGTGAGTGGTCTCTTCTCAGCAGTCTTTGGGAGACATAGCTTGTTCCAGGCTCCTGGTCTTAAAAGGTGAACAGAGCGGGGACAGTGCAAGGCACCCCTGCATCCTCACCTGCTCCACGCCCCTCAGAGCTATTTGTCAAAGAGTATACAGGTCTTCTAAGCAACTTTGAGCGGGGGCCTGCAGTGGCAGCCCTGGAGCAATGTGCCTGTTTCTCCATTTGGAATCCTCTGTCCCTGTCCTCCTAGCAACGGTCAGTCAACAGCAGGTGTGCAGTCCCCACACTGGTCCTCCCAGTTGCCTTTGTCTCTACAGGATTCCTCCCAGCCTCCCCTTTCTTCCATAATGGGGAGAGGTCTGAAGGCTAGAGAGTTCAGGAAATATCTTGCCTCTCATTTTTGTCTGTTAAGCTTGACCTGGGGCTAGGGAAAACTATGAATTTACATCAGCCAAAGTAGAGCAGCAGATCCTTCCAAATCATCCCCAGTGACTTTTTTTTTTTTGAGACAAGTCTCACTTTTGTCTCCTAGGCTGGAGTACAATGACGCAATCTTGGCTCACTGCAACCTCTGCCTCCCGGGTTCAAGCTATTCTCGTACCTCACCCTCCCGAGTAACTGGGATTACAGGTGCCCACCACCATGTCCAGTGGCAATTTTAGTATTTTAGTAGAGACAGGACTTTGCCATGTTGGCCAGGCTGGTCTTGAACTCCTGACCTCAAGTGATCCACCCACCTTGCCCTCCAAAAGTGTTGGGATTACAGGTGTGAGCCACCTCACCCAACCCATCACCAGTGACTTCTAATTTGACACTAGGCAGATCATTTAAATGTTTTTGATGATTCAGGTTCTTATCTGTAATGTAGGTGTAATAATAGCATATTCAGAGTCATGCGCCACCTAATTCATTAGCATTTCCTAATCCCAGTGAGCTTCTAGGGGAGAGGGAGAGCAGCACTACACTATAGGATCGCATATCTCAGTTTACTGGTAGCAGCCAAATGGGGAAAATGATACTGAGAAATGTGATTTAGAATACTTCACAACGATGCATTATTATTTCACTCGACAGTCAGAGTTTCCCAGTGCAATTTATCTTTCCATGTGGGTTTCTGTAAATAGAGCTGGCGGACTTTTTTCTCCCCAATCCGACGCCAGTTCCAATCCCAGTTCCAATTGTTGAATTTCTTGCATGTGGTCTAATCCTAGAGCCACACATGAACATGGGAACAAACTGGTTTTTAATAACATGGAAGAGGCAGGAGAAACGTAGACAGCCTATCATTCTGGAAGAAGAAAACATCTTTCTAGAGACTTTTTTTTCTCTCCCGGATCATCCTCATTAATACTAGAAGACATTTTCTGCCACTTTAAAAGAAGAAGCTTTGTAGCATTCCTGTAGCACAGAACAAATTAATTTATTTCAGGGTAGTTCATAGCAGTACCGGGCAAAGCTCTTGTTCACACCTCTCCCCTCCAGCAGGTACACGGGAACCCATGCAACTTTCTGTGGGAACTTTGGACATGGCAGGTCCTTAGGAAGAGCTTGTTACCAAGGCGAGAGGAGCAAACTGTTCTTTCTCTTGCGGGAACCCACTGGAGTGAAAGACACAGGGGTTAAGCACAAGAGGAGGATCTGGGTATGTCTCTAATCTGTTGTTACTCTCCAGATATTCTTGACCCTGCACTTACTAGGGTGGGTGTATTAGAAGGGATGGGCATGGCGGTTAGGAGTGGGGTCCATCCACACGTGCTTCCAGCCCTAGAGACCAGCAGCACGATCTGCACTCCAGCCTCCGCTTTCCCTCTGGGAAACCTACTCTTTTTTTTTTCTTTTAATTTTTATTTTTTTGAGATGGAATGTCACTCTGCTCTGTCACCCAGGCTGGAGTACAGTGGCATGATCTTGGCTCACTGTAACTTCTGCCTCCTAGGTTCAATCTATCCTCCTGCTTCACTCCCAAGTGGCTGTGATTACAAGTATGCACCACCACACCTGGCTAATTTTTGTATTTTTAGTAGAGACGGGGTTTCACCATGTTGACCAGGCTGGTCTCGAACTCCTGATCTCCAGTGATCTGCCAGTCTCAGCCTCTCAAAGTGCCAGGATTACAGGCATGAGCCACCAGGCCTGGCCAGAAACCTACTCATGAGACCAAAGAGTACCCACAAACCAGAGCCGTCTAGGGATCTATCTGAAAGCATAGCAACACCAAGGCCCATATGTGTGTGAGCTGACTTCATCTTCACAACAGTCTTGCTGTAAAGAGGCTGTTTTGTATATACCCATAACAATAACATTAGCCACTTTAAAGTGCACAATTCAATAGCTCATTGTCCCCATTTCACAGGTGAGGAAACAGTGACTCCAATGAAGGCATTTGAGATCATCTAGCCAGTCACCCAGAGAGGCAGGAGTCTCCCCTACAGGGCAGGGGGCCAAGGGGCCTGGCCTGCAGGGCTCACTCATGTTTGTATTTTCAGAGCTGGGACAGAGTCCGTGCTCAGTAAATACCGAATGAATAGATGTTAGCGTAAATGGCAAATGAATGTCCATGCACCCACACTATTGCATTTCACCGTGGTCCCTCTCTGGGGATAATTTTCTTGGATTTTGCCTCCTCCTCTAGCTCCTGATAAGTGATGCCCGGGCTCAGAGCAAAGCAGGCTATAAGGGTAGCCGAGCTCACAGGGACTAGCCCTCCGTTTAGACAGACACGTGGCCAGGCGCAGTGGCTCACACTTGTAATTCCAGAACTTTGGGAGGCCGAGGCAGGCGGATCACCTGAGGTTGGGAGTTCGAGACCAGCCTGACAATCATGGAGAAACCCCATCTCTAATAAAAATACAAAACTAGCTGGGTGTACTGGCACATGCCTGTAATCTCAGCTACTCAGAAGGCTGAGGCAGGAGAATTGCTTGAACCTGGGAGGTAGAGGTTGCAGTGAGCCGATATTGTGCCACTGCACTCCAGCATGGGCAACAAGAGCAAAACTCTATCTCAAACAAAAAATAAGACAGACATGCCCCTTTCCCTGCCATAGCCTCCAGCCAAGCTCCATCCACCCCTGAGGCTGTAGCACCCTCCAGTGGCCCTGACAGGGGCGGATGTGCCATCAGCTCTGTCCTTACTAGCTGTGTGAACTTGGTCAAGTCGCTTAGCTTCTCTGGGTCTCAGTTCCTCATTTATAAAATGGAACAAATAATAATAAGGCTCTCATACATAAGATGGGACTGACTTTTTGCAGAGTTTAGCATGGTAGTTCTGTTCTTACACAGTGCAGCTACAGAAAAACGTCTTTCATGATGTCTACATGGAGGTGCACTGTACCAGTCTCTCTATGTCTTGGTATTTGGACATTTTTATTATGTTTTTTAAAATAAAAGGACTCCGGCTGGGTGTGGTGGCTCATGCCTGTAATCCCAGCACTTTGGGAGGCTGATGTGGGTGGATCACCTGAGGCCAGGAGTTCAAGACCAACCTGGCCAACATGGGGAAACTTCATCTCTACTAAAAATACAAAAATTAGCCAAGTGTGGGTGGCCCATGCTTGTAATCCAGCTACTTGGGAGGCTGAGGCAGGAGGATCACTTGAACCCAGGAGGCAGAGGTTGCAGTGAGCTGAGTCAGTGCCGCTGTACTGCAGCCTAGGGGACAGAGGGAGACTCCATCTCAAATAAATAAATAGGCCGGGCATGGTGGCTCACACCTGTAATCCTGGCACTTTGGGAGACCAAGGTGGGTGAGTCACCTGAGGTAAAGTGTTTGAGACCAGACTGGTCAACATGGTGAAACCCCGTCTCCACTCAAGATGCAAAAAAATTAGCTAGGAGCAGAGGTGCACATCTGGAATCCCAGCTACTTGGGAGGCTGATCTTGAACCCAGGAGACAGAAGTTACAGTAAGCCGACATCGCACCATTGCACCCCAGCCTGGGCAACAGAGTGAGACTCCATCTCAAAAAATAATAAATAAATAAATAAGGGACTCTTCAGGCAACTCGATGAGGCATTTCCTGAAGGAAGATAGATGCCCTGTTAGGGGGTTAGGGCAGGTCTGGAAGGGTCAGCGAGGATAGCACAGAGAGCAGAGGAGAATAGACAATATTTCCTCCCTGGCCGGGCACAGTGGCTCATGCCTGTAATCCCAGCACTTTGGGAGGCCAAGGTGGGCAGATCATGAGGTCAGGAGATTGAGACCATCCTGGCTAACATGGTGAAACCTTATCTCTACTAAAAGTACAAAAATTATCTGGACATGGTGGCATGTGCCTGTAGGCCCAGCTACTAAGGAGGCTGAGGCAGGAAAATTGCTTGAACCTCGGAGGTGGAGGTTGCAGTGAGCCAAGATTGAGCCACTGCGCTCCAGCCTGGGCAACAGAGCAAGACTCCGTCTCAAAACAAAACAACAACAAAAAGTGGAACCAGAGGTGGAAGGCCAGGGAGGCATCCTCCACAGGGGGCCTTTTCACTGCGCTTCTCTGATGGAAAGATTAGATGACTCAGTGTAGAACCCAGCACTGAACATGGTTAGCCTGTGAGAGAGGACAGGACACAGAGCATGGTTTCTTCTAGCCTTATCTTCCCAGCAGCCATTGTCTGAGATCCCTCACCCTTGGGGTGCACTTGCAGACTCACATCACACCCCACTTCCTACTATGTTCTTACACCTCTTAAGGTTCCAGATCATGATGAAAATGAACATTGGCATATCTTGCCCTCTTTGTCCAAGAACCAGCCCATTCCCCACCCTCACTTTTTTTCTTTTTGAGACAGAGTCTCACTCTGTCACCAGGCTGGAGTGCAGTGTTGCGATCTCGGCTCACTGCAACCTCTGCCTCCTGGATTCAAGTGATTCTCCTGCCTCAGCCTCCCAAGTAGCTGGGACTACAGGTGCACACCACCACACCCAGATAATTTTTGTATTTTTAGTAGAGACAAGCTTTCACCATATTGGCCAGGATGGTCTCCATCTCTTGATCTCGTGATCCGCCCGCCTCGGCCTCCCAAAGTGGGGGGATTATAGGTGTGTGCTACCGCACCCAACCAGGGTCTTTGTTCTTGGAGGTATAGCAGGGACACTGTTCGATCTGAAAGGCACAGATCTAAACATCTCTCCCTCATCCACCTCTGCCTTCAAACATCTCCCCTGCTGCCCTGTCCCACAATCTTAAATTTCATCGTTCACCTTCCTTTGGGTATTATCTCTGAAAGCTCCTGTTAACAAGTAGATGGGCTAGCACACTTTGGGGTGGATAGCGCCCCTGCCGCAATACCCTGGATTGCTTCCAGATACAGACATGTGCTGGATTTATGCGGCTACGTGGCATCCTTCCCGCCTCCTTTCCAGGGGGTTTTCCCTACTGTAGGAATCTCAGACAATGGGGTACACATAGAACTATGCTGGAGCACTGCTCACAAGCCCAACAGCATCAACTTTTAAATTATCAGGAATTGTTTGAGCGGGCTGTTAAATGGTTGGCAAATAAAAATAAGTGACAGTGAGAATGTCTTCACCATGGAAGTCAGCAAATGCTACAACTCAGGGCTTTCCCCACTCGTGAGCAAGCTGTTAAATGTTTCCCAGCCCAACCACCACGCACGGCACCCGGGTTTAGCCGCCTGATCCTCCTTCTGAGGCCTTGACTCTCAGGCCAGTGACCCAAGACACAGGAACAAGACAGAATCCATGTACTGCAGGAGCATCTGGCCATGGCGGGGTGGGGGAGATGTAATGGGGGAGGTGGCAGTGCCCAAGGGTGTCAGAGTCAGCCGCCCCTCCCTGGCATGACTTTGGCTGGGTCTTCCTCTTGCCTGCCTGCCTTCATTTCCTGCCCAATTTCCAAGCCTTCTTCTCCTGCCTTCCCATCCATTTCAAGAGCTTCCCTTTTCTGCTATGTTAACCATAGTCACCTATATGAAGCTGAGGAGTCTGGTTCATATAGGTGACTAATCATTTGACAGACAGAGGTGCCTGACAAAAGCAAAGAAGCTCTCATTTTGATTCCTCAAGAAGGGTGGCTGCTTGGAGCAGAGCAGCCTCGGCTTAATTACTTAGCAAACATTTATGGAGCACCTACTGTGTGCAGGCACTGCCCTAGTGCCAGGACAGGAAAGGGTCAGGTACATTTTTGTCCCCAAGGAACTTACCACCTAGCTAATGGAAGCAGCTCTCAAACAACTAATAATGCAATGAATTTTTCTGTGCACTGCTCCATCGTCATTGAGTTATACCACATTACTGATACATATTTGAATCCTGCAGTGGGTAAAGCACCACGTAACGTACAAAGGAGCATACCGAAAAAGATGAAACAATCTGTCCCTCCCTCTCGAGTTCACAGTTTAGCTGACAACACAGGTACATGCTCGTGCTGCTGAGTAACTTTCCAGCACAGGTTTCCACTTGTCAGGAGCACGGGGAGCTGTAGCTTCCAATTTTGGGGATCAGGAAAGGCTTATGTGAAGAACGTGAGATTTGAGCACAGCCTGGACTGTGATTAACAACAAGAAAAAAAAAGTGCAACAGTGTAGAAAACATACCTGTAAAATTAGCCACCTGAAATTCTACTGCCCAAAGGTGACCGCGGTTAACACAGCCGTAGGCTCCCTTCTGCATAGCTGCGGGATCCTGTGGGCACACGCTTGTATAACCAGCTGTTTTTACTCAACAATACAGCATGGACACTTTTCCATGCCAATTATTCCCAATCTGCATCGCCATTTAAGCGGCCAGAGAATATTCCATTATACGGATGTACTCTAAATTAATCAAATCCCCATCGATAAACATTTAGTGTTGCGGTCAAGGGCTCAGACTCTGGATCCTCAGAGCGTAGCATCAGTCCTGGCTCTGCCATTCCCGGCTGAGTGATGGTCAGCAGAATCCTGGCCTCTCTGAGTAGGCTCCTGCTCTATTAAGTGGAGGTGCAGTTGTCCCTCGGTATTAACGGGAATTGGTTCCAGGAGTCCCATACCAAAACCCACAGATGTTCAAGTCCCTTGTATAAAATGGTGTGATATTTGTATATAACCTGCACATGTCCTACTGTATACTTTAAATCTTCTCTGGATTCATTATATATCTTTTTATTTATTTATTTATTTATTTATTTTGAGACACAGTCTCACTCTGTCACCCAGGCTGGAGTGCTGCAGTGGCGCAATCTTGGCTCACTGCAACCTCTGCCTCCCAGGTTCAAACAATTCTCCTGCCTCAGTCTCCTTAGTAGCTGGGACTACAAGCACGTGCCATCATGACAGGCTAATTTTTGTATTTTTAGTAGAGACGGGGTTTCACCATATTGGCCAGGCTCGTCTCAAGCTCCTGACCTTGTGATCTGTTGGCCTTGGCCTCCCGAAGTGCTGGGATTACAGGCGTAAGCCACCATGCTTGGCCCTCTGGATTACTTTTAATACCCCATACAATGCCAACAGTTCATTTCATTCTCCTGGATTCAATGTAGTAGTACTTGGGCATGGCGAATTCAGGTTTTGCTTTTTGGAACTTTGCAGAATTAAAAAAAAATTATTTTCCATGCACAATTGCTTGAATCCACACATACGGAGGGCTGACTGTATTAACAATACGGTCCCTGGCCAGGCACGGTGGCTCATGACTGTAATCCTAGCACTTTGGAAGACCGAGAGAGGCGGATCACGAGATTAGGAGTTTGAGACCACCCTGGCTAAAATGGTGAAACCCCGTCTCTGCTAAAAATACAAAAAATTAGCTGGGTGTGGTGATGCACACCTGTAGTTCCAGCTACTCAGGAGGCTGAAGCAGGAGAATCACTTGAACCCGGGAGGCAGAGGTTGCAGTGAGCTGAGATTATGCCATTGCACTCTAGCCTGGGTGACAGTGAGGCTCTGTCACTCACACACACACACACACACACACACACAATACAGTCCCCGAGGCATAGAGATGTGTTGTGAGTAGCTATTTGTAAAATGTTTAGAACAGTTTCTAGCACTTAGTAAATGCTCAGTTAGGCCAACTACCGTTACTGTCAAGCAGGACTGTGGCCGTCCTCTGTGTTTAGAATGTCTATCTTTGTGCAGCCTTCTCAGCATCTACTTAGGATAAACACGGCAAGCAGAATGAAATCATCAAACAGTGCACTTATTTTAAATCCTGATAAATATCCAACTGCCCTCCAGAAATGCACCGGCCGCTGGTGGGCAGGGGGACAGTCCCTGCCTCCTAACTGGAGCCCCGGGGACCCTCTCCCGCCATCCACACCGCCAGCGAGCTTTCCTGACTCTCCCAGCCTTCCAGGTGGCTTTTGGAATATAAAGCAGGAAGAAAATTAGCAGCAAGTCAGATCCTCTCACTTTGATTTCTAGAAGGAAAGCTAGAGTTGAGGCCATGTTGGAAAATATAGGTCAGATCTCGGTTTCTGTGGTTACCAAACACTGTCAACCACCAGTGACTCCCTCCCTCAGGGCGATGCCAGGGTTCTGAGGCCAGGCGGTCGGGCCTGGCCCTCGCCAGGGTTCCAGGTCTGCTGCCCTGCGGGCCTGGAGGGTCTGCACTGGGGCGAGGGCCCGCGGGCACCCTGCCCTGCACTTCTTTTCGGGGGGGAAGGGGCCGGAGGGCTTGGCAGGGCTGCCGGCGTGGTCCGGGTTCGCGCCGATCCCGCCCGGCTCCGCGCGCCGGCGGCTGCAGGGTGGGCACGGGCCGGGCCCGCAGGAGGAGGGGGAGGCCGGGCGCCGCGGGAACAATGTGGTCGGTTGTTTTGCCGACTGTCAGCTTCGTTCCCGGATCATCCTTTCCACGCCCCTTGGCCTAACCGCCGCGGGCCCGGCGCGCCAAGGGAAGAGCCCCCCTTATTTGGTCTTGGAAAGAAAGGGGAAAGGTTATCCTCGGATGCCTGCGGCGTTGGGTCATCGGCCCGCAGCGGCCGGCCCGCACGCGGGACCAGCTCCGACTCCCGCCGGCAGGGGGCGGTGCCGGGCAGCGCCGCGAGCAGCCGCTGGTAAACAAGCCCGCAGGTTCCGCCGCCGGCGCCGATCCGCTCCTGGGAGTGGGGAGGAGGTGGGGGCGGGGGAGGGGGCGGTGTCTGAGCCAGGGAAGGAGGGGGAAAAGAAGAAAACAAAACCTTTTTATGGCTAGTCAGGCTTCCAAAATTGGAAAACCGTTTCAGTTTGAGGGTGTGACTTTGCCATGTTGATTTCATGTGAAGCGTTTGGGAGCGCACGAGGTGGGGGAAGGTGTGGTGGTGCGGGGTGCGGGAATCTGTGTTAAGATGAGCTGTGCCATTGGGGTGCAAGTTACTAAGATAGTTCAAAAGGTACAATTTGGGATCAATGTCGTCTCGGGTATTTTCCTCCCCCCTTCTCTCTCTTACTCCTCCCTACCCCCCTGCTTTTCCAGCGTCTCAGGTGAACCTGGTGATGTGCAGCCAGCCACCTGCCTTCTCATGGCCTGAAGGGGATGGAAGCCGATGTTTCTAAGTCTCTTACCCTGCGGAGCTCAGAAAGGCGAAGGTCACCCAGACAGCAAGTGACCAAGCTGTGATTCGAGCCCTGGTCCTTCACGCTTCAGAGTCAAAGCTTGTCCATGGTGAAGAGCACATTACCTCGCCAATGACTCCTCCAAATAAAGCTCGTGTAATATGTGTCATTCTTCAAAGACCTTTAAAAAAGAACCAAAACAGTAACTGGTTTGACTTTTTCAGCAGAGCAAAGGAAAAGGGCATCAGCATGCGGAGGCGAGTCTAGTGGGTGAACCTGTTCCCCAGAGGTGGGATAGAGGAGGTGGGGTGGGGGGGATTTCGTTTCTCTCCAACTGCCCCAGGGCTCTTGACCATCTCCAGAGTGGCTCTGGGGTAGTATCCTGCCACAGTACTTGTTTCCCCACAGAGCCTTCCAGACAGGGGCCTGGCGGAGGGGGGGACTGGGAGGGGGGAGCTGTTGTTAACGTCTATTTTCTATTTGAGGCAAGTTGCAGGCAGCCCTGTGTTTGCCTGCAGGTCCCACACGGTCCTCCCGCCCTTCTCATTGTTCGAGCTGCCTCCTGAGGGGGTTACCAATAATTTTCACTCATAAGACCTGCCTCGGGTTTCTTCATCTGGAAAGAAATTAATTTTCCAAGTCACACAATTACAGACAACTTTTAAAAGAGTCACTGTGACAGTTTCATGGTTACCTTAGATTAGATGGTGCCAGTTTGTTCTTTTTTTAAAAAAAGAAAATTTGCGTGAACAAAATTAAATCCAAGAAATATGGCTTTTCTCTAGCTCTTTTTGTGAAATAGTTTTTTAAAAAATAAAGAAAATAAGCTGCTTCTACCAGTTTTGGGGGCTTTCCAGCTTTCCAGACATTTACTTAGCTTGATACATAGTATATTTCTATGGGAAAAGTACACCAAGAATATCTTGTAGGTCATTACTTTCCGCGTTGTTGTGTTGGTTACAGTCAGCTCCACAGTATGAACAAGTTGATCAGCTCCAGGAAGGCCTCCCATTTCCCAGTGGAAAACCTCGCTCATGGCTGCACCTTTTGTTGCTGGTCACTTGCTTGGCACTTCCTAGCTGACAGGCTGGGACGCAGGCTCACTGTCCTTGGCAATGACTCTGCTAATCCCAGATACCAGCTTCCATGAGAACCAGCAGTCACTTCCTGTTGGCGACAACCCCATCTGGGTTTTCCCCACATCCCAGAGCCCAGATCCCCATCCCAGGAGCTAGTGAGAGTCCTTCGCAGGGTCAGGAATGCGGCTGGGTTTGCCCTGGTGTTGTAAGTAAAATTTCGATGCTACAAAAGAAATAGCGCTTGAAGATAAGTCCTCTCAGCAAGGCAGTTTACTTCTATCGAAGGGTGCAGGGCACATGGACAGAGTAATGATGGCCTGTCCGCTGCACACTGGGACTAGCGGGGAAAGAATACTTATGCCTGATGGGGTCATCCCTACTGCTGTGTCAGTCCCCTATTGGTTAGGGTTAGACCGCACAAGCTATACTAATCCTGATTGGCTATTTTTAAAAAGAGCAGGGGTCCGAGCTGGAGTGGCAGGGTGGGAAGGACGGTAACCAGCATGTCAGAGCAGGTAGCCAGGGGTGATCAGGTGACCTAGATGAGTCAGGATGGAGGAGGAGGGAGACTGGGAGCAGATGTGAATTAGTGATTAGAACTAGTGGAGAAGATTGTTTACTGGAATGACAAGGAAGTTAAACTTTAAAATAGAGAATTAAAGAGTAAGAGACTGAATACTGATGCTTTGAAGAGAAACTTGGGATTCACTGTAACATCTGACATCCCAGAGCCGAGATCCCCATCCCAGGAGCCAGTAAGAGTCCTTAGCAGGGTCGGGAACGTTGCAGTATGCTGCTGGCTTGTCCCTTCCAGATGCTGTGGCAGGCTGCAGCCTGGTGGTCGGTAACGCCTGCCTTGGCTCTGTACTTGTTCGTGAGGTTCTCCTCACCACAAAACTACTCCCAAATGTAGATAGGGTTCCATTCCATTGCCTGGATTCTGCTCTCTGTTTATGCCTTGAGGCAGACGGAGCCCAAGGAACGTCACACTGTCCCACCATCATCTCAGTGACTGCCCTGTTTGGAGGGGCAGTGGTGCCCAGCAATGGAGCAAGGGCATAGGGAATAGAGCTGCACAGCCTTGGTCACACTCCTTGAACTCTTTGTACTCCCACCGTGGTGAGGATTTAATGATACCTTCTTATGTGAAGGACTTAACGCAGTACCTTCCCCCTGGGGAGCACAGGAGGGCATACCTCCCAGGATAGTTCAGAGGACTGCATGAAATAATGCCTGTAAAAACCCTTAGTCCAGGGCCTAGCACTTCAAGAGGGCTCAGTCATGTGGCCAGTATTATAACCAGCTACTTCTTTTGGAGGGTCAGCTACATGCTACAAACTAAGGCTCTTTATGTATCCATTTGAATCTTTATGGAAACCTAGAATGTAGACAAAATTATTGCATGTACAAGGAAATCAGAATCAGGCTAAGTAAATTAACCAATGTCACACCGTTAGTATATGGCAGGGCCAGGATCCTCTGGCTCCTAAGCGTGTGGCCTTTCAGTTATAGGCAAC